TCATCAAAACACTATAATTTGGTTATTATTAACTCGATTATTAGTGTTATTGAGAGATCTGGGATCAACACATGTCCTCTACTCCTCGAAGTGTAGGTTGGTGGATTAACGGGAGATTCCTCCCTTTCTTCAGATGCAGGGCGAGCGGTTCTCTCTTATCTTCATGATCGACTAGACATCTGCAGATATTTTAGTATTAAATATCACGTATTCAAATTCCCAAATATAATATTGTTGGACCGATACTAGGGAACCGCTCACATGATATTGTCCGCTTTGGGCTGCACCTCCCGGCAATAACCCCTCACGGCTTTAAAACGCGTCACTGGYAGGAGTAAGATCCCCCCTTCCTTATAAGGAAGACGAATCCCCCTAGCCTCACCGATGTGGGATGCTCTTGCATTACTACAGGAGTGTTGGGTTTAAGAATCGCCGATTTGACCAGCTCGAGGGAACGATGAGGCGGAAGTCCAACATTCCCCACCCTAGCTTTGATACCAATTGTTGGACCGATACTAGGGAACCGCCCACATGATATTATCTGCTTTGGGCTGCCCCTACCGGCAACAACCCCTCACAGCTTTAAAACGCGTCACTGGTAGGAGTAAGATCCCCCCTTCCTTATAAGGAAGAGGAATCCCCCTAGCCTCACCGATGTGGGATGCTCCTGCATTGCTATAGGAGCGTTGGGTTTAAGAATCGCGGATTTGACCGACTCGAGGGAACGATGAGGCAGAAGTCCCAACAAATATGGTGTCCGAGTATAGGTATGTACCTGTAAATTCATAATTACATTGGCCATTTGTAATTTGAATTCACCTTACATATTGCCCTCTTTAACCCATTATATTTTATTCCCAGTGACACTAACAATGTCTGGGACCCTTAACATGCAAATGACAGTTTAAGTCTAGGTATCATGCTTCGAATACCTAAATCTCTTAAACTAAGGCTCTGATACCACATCTGTAACACCCCCAAAACCACATTTGCATATAACACATATTTCATTACATGGAAATATAGTTTACATCGCAAGGTCCCACTAGTACAAAGATTCTAATATGTACAAAATCTACATATGAAAAATTCCAAAATAAAATCCTGTACTATCACATGTAATAAAACATGTATCTTCAAAAATAAGCAATCTCAAGCAGATCCTCAAAAGCAGATATCAGATTAGGAAAATAATCATATTTTCCCTTTCCCCTTATTATCCATGGACCCCGCCATTCCTGCACCGCATATTTTAAAGACAATAAAATGAGGGTTAGATTATAAGGGTCTAGTGAGTGAATCCCTTCTTTGCAAATGCAGGGTGATAAATACGAAAATATAGTATAATAATTTTGTTCAGGAATATTTGCAATACATTCAAGTAAAGTAGTTCTCAATGACATGTATAATAGGATAAATCCAAGATCCTCGGTTCTTATAAATAAATACATCTGCTTAAAGATTTGACGTTCCCAATAAATATTATAACCAAAACTTCTTTGAATCATCAGATCATTCCTTTGTAATTATTAACAGAAAGATTTAAGGCAATACTTGCTCTTTTATGACAAACCATTTTCCCCTTCTCAATAACATCTAAATTATTATTTCTAATTAGGAATAATATCTTTAATTCATCAGGTCACAAAGAAATGATGAATCAAGGTTATTAAATTCAATTAGTGATAATAATAAGAGTTAAAAATAATATCTGCATATGACAATGCCACCCTTATTCCAAGTACACCTCTTCTTGATATGCCACCCTTATTCCTCCATCAAAACAGAGCTACTTATCATAACAGACAAAAGTCACCACGCATGAAAGTACTCATTCCCAGTTCCAAGCCAGAATAGACAAAAGTCACCATGTCTGGGGGAATTACCTCTTAAAATAAGTTTCGTACCAAAACAAACTTACGTCACCACGCTTGGTAGAAACAATGTATAAAATCCAATTCCATACCAAAACAGACTTACGTCACCACGCTTGCTAGGAATGTTTCCCAAAATATAGTTTCATACCAAAACAGACTTACGTCACCACGCTTGGTAGAAACATTTTCAAAAATCCAGTTCCATACCAAAACAGACTTACGTCACTATGCTTGGTAGGAACACATCTTTTATTAAAAAAGTTATAAAATACCCCTTTGATAAATCCATACTCAAACTCAATAATAGATATTTTAATTATATAAAATGTCTAAAATTAATCAACATTTGAAAATATAAGTCACCCGGATAAGTTATCCGGATATACAATATGGACAACTCTATCTCTTCTTGTCCGATATACTAATTCGGACAAGACTTGGTCGAGTTAAGACTAAATCGCATGATTCATGTCCGGTTTAAGGCAATCCGGACAACACATGATTGATTTAAAACTAAACCGCTCAATATGTGATCGGTTTATAACTAATCCGCACAACCCTTAGGCGATTTAAGACTAAATCGCACCATGCTTAATCGTATTCATACTTCTCTGTTCAAAACCTTTTTCCAGTTTATATAATTCAAAATCTCACTAACTCCCTAAATCGCATGACTCTTGAGCGATTTATAATTAAGTCGGTCACCTCTTATCCTGTTTAAGAGTAATCCGGACAAGCCTTGTCCGGTTTAGACTTAATTTGGTCACCCCTTGTCCGAATAAAGATTATTAATTAAAATACTGATTTCTTTCCAATAATAAACAACATTCAAGTAAAACCAGTAACAAATTTTATGCAAAAAGGTTTAGAAATCACTCACCTTGAAGTAAGAACTTAGATTTGAAGAAGATGAAAAGTAATTTGAATCCAACTCTTGATTATCCAGACAGCACTTCTCAAAACTCTCCTTTTCCAATTGAGGCAAGAAAACTTGCCTCATAACCCAATCCTTATATTTATACTTTCCTTACATGGAAAGTCGGCTACCCTATATGCATGCACAAATTTTACCCATGCATGCACACACACATGAACATACCCATTATATATATATATATATATATATATATATATATATATACACATAACACACATACTGTGTGTCCAAATTCACTGATCAATTCTTCATTTCTTCATATCAATCATGACAGATTCATATATTTCATGTAAGAACATCAAGATCCTTGAGAGGAAAAGTCAATGCATGTAAAGCTCAGTCAAACCTCTATTATGAATGGATTATTACAATTAAGCTCCCCTCACACTAATTACAAAGATTACCACCTATTTATATGGTCAACATATTAATACAAAGTCAAAGTCAAACTAGTCTAAGAAAGTCAAACAYGCTGACTTTACAATTATAGACTAAAATTAATCTTTCAAGACGAATATAATTAATACTGATTTCTCAGTCCTAACACATACATATATATACATATAACTATTTATCATATTATGCATATATCCCTATGCATAAAATGCACATACTCACATATTAAATTCACGTAAGCATGTATCCATATAAACAATTAATTCACATAATAAATACCTTAGGTAATAACCAGAACCCGGTTATCACACCGTGGTTCCACCTTTCTTTCGTACACATTTACCGGACTCGCCAACCATTACTAGAAATGATGTATATAATACCCACAACTAACCACTTCAAAAAAAATTTCTTAACGACCCCACTTTCATGATGGGATTTAATCTCCTTTGTGGTTGCACCTTTCCAACACTATTTTCTTCCAAAATTATCTTATGTTGGCAAAAAGACGGACTAATACCTCTAATGTCGGCAATGGTCCAGCCTATGGCTCTTTTGTGAGCTTTCAACACCTCTATCAACCTTAATTCTTGTTCATTACTTAACTTTGAAGAAATAATTACGGGTAATTTTTCCTTCTCCATAAGATAAACATACTTAAGGTGACTGAGGAGTGACTTTAATTCTAACTCCAGGGCTTGCTCTATGGATGGTGCTTGGACAATTATGTCCTTAAAGTCAAGTTGTTCAAATGCCGCTAGATCTTCTAAATCTTCCAACTCAACATTTTCTTCCATTATGTTCTCAAAATTTTCCCCAATATCACTTTTGTAGGGAGTGTCAATCAAATTTATCTCTAGATCTTCACCTAAAGCAGAGATGACTGAACAATCACCTACCTTTCCATGAAATTTAAGGGAACTAAATACATTGAATTTCACTTCCTGATCACTTACTCTCATGGTTAACTCCCCTTTTTGCACATCGATTAATGTTCTCTCAGTTGTAAGAAAAGGTCGACCTAAAATGATCAGGACATTCTTGTCAGCTTCATAATCCAAAACTTCAAAATCGGCCGAAAAAATAAATTTATCGACTTGGACCAAAATATCCTCTATTTTAATCTTAGGATAAGCAATGGACCTATCCGCCAATTGTAAATTCACGGTAGTCGGACGGACTTCTCCTATTCCTAGTTTGTTAAAAACTAACAATGGCATAAGATTAATGCTTACCCCCAAATCACATAGGGCATGACCTGCTTCTTTTCCTCCTATAGAACATGGGATGGTAAAACTTCCCGGGTCTTTTAACTTTGGAAGAATTTTACATGTAAGAAGTGCACTACATTCTTTGGTCAAAGCAACCGTTTTAAATTCATTCAACCTTCTCTTTTTATTCAGAATGTCTATCAAAAATTTAACATAGCTTGGCATTTGCTCAAGAGCTTCTACCAAAAGTATGTTAATATGGAGTTGCTTAAAGATGTCCAAAAACTTCTTAAATTGCTCGTCCACATTTTTGGTTTTCATTCTTTCTGGAAAAGGTAAATTATGCAAATATGGAGTTGGTTGAATGGATTTTTTTGGTTGGACAGTGGGCACAATCTTCCCACTATGGGAAGTTTGAGCTGAGAGCTGTGTAGTGATGGAAGTAAATGCAGGGACTGTTTTCTGGACAAAAAATGAATTTTGAGTTTCTCCATTGAGAGGACTCAAAATTGGAAAATTTGGCATATCAAAAGCATGTGAAACCTCGTTTTGATGGGTCAATTTTTCAGCGTTTTCATTTGTGTGATTATTGACTCTCGAATTATCCTCACTCAACACGGTTACGGCTTTGATATGTTCTTTACCCTTAGGGGTTTCCATGTCACTAGACAAAGTTTCTAAAGGTGTATGGAAAATTGGCCGAGTTGGGTTTCGAAACTTCTTAACATTGCATTGGTTTGATTTATAAAACCTTTAAGTAATGATTTTAGTGAACCATTATCGTCCGATGCATTTTGCCTAGGCACGTGGGATTGTGAGGGTTGCCCATTTTGATAGTTGTGAGGAACACCTTGCCCATATCCAAGGGGATTTTGTAGCCGATTTTGGACTTAGGTTACCTCGGGGGTTGAAGTCCAGGATTTCTCGGCCCAAGAATAATTGGGGTGATTCCTCCAATTTGGGTTATATGTGGGAGAAAATGGGCTATTTTTAGCATGACTCCCAACATAATTCACCGAGACGGGATTTCCGAGGCAATATTCATAAGAATGGCCCTCACTGCAAAAGACACAAGATTCAGTCATAGATTGATTGGACATTATGGATTGAGCTTGATTTTTTTGTCCATTTAAGTTTAAATTGTTTTTAACCAAATTAGTTAAAGCTACAATTTGTGCATTTAAAGAAGAGATGGCATCAAGTTCATGGATGCCTGATGCAGATTTAGAAACAACAGCACGAAGATTTGACCATTCAGTATTATTATTAGAAATTCGTTCCAAAATGTCATACCCCTCGTTATAAGTCTTAGCTCTAAATGCTCCACCGGCCATTGCGTCAAGAATAATTGTAGGGGAACTGGAAAGTCCATTGTAAATTGTCTCCAATTGTCTCCAATTGTCTCCAATGAGGGATTTCGTGGTGAGGACATTTCCGTAGAAGGTCCTTGAATCTCGCCCATGCATCTGAAACCGCTTCATCTTCTTCTTGGCGAAACGTCATAATTTCATTTCTAATTTTTAAATTCCTTGTTGGAGGAAAGTTTTTTTTTTAGAAATTTTTCCGCCAAACCATTCCAAGTTAGGATTGAGTTTGGAGGTTGAGAATTTAGCCATGCTCTACTTCTATCCTTTAAAGGAAAAGTGTCAAGCGTAAGGCTTCTTGTGTGACTCCGGGAATTTTAAAATGATCTGTCATTTCTATAAAAGATTTTTAAATGATAATGCGGATCTTTCGATGATAATCCCCCAAACTGACCCATTGTGGAAATCATTTGAAACATTCCCGGTTGTGGTTCAAAAGTTGTTGCTGTCATTTCAGGCCTACCTATTCCCGCGGCCAACTGACCAAATTCGGGAGTTGCGTAGTTCTGTATGCCTCTACTTTTATCATCGACAACTTTAACCGTGGCCTCCCGATGAGGTAAAGCATTCCCCATGGTACGATTTAAATTAGGAGTTTGCCGATTATTTCTACCTCTTCTAATGGTTCTTTTGTAATTCAAGATCGAGAGGTAAAAGTTCACCTTGTTGTAGCCATGGCATACAACACGGAAACTGCAATTGAAACAAATGATCAAGGCTCTAATGAAATCAGTATCTCAAGATAAAAATCGCACCAATCCCCGGCAGCGGCACCAAAAACTTGACAGGCTAGGGATCATTCGTGTTCACACAGTGGGCACAAAGTCCCCATTGTGGCGGTGCAAGTGCACGCCGACACTATGATCGCTTGCAAGTAATAAAGTGGTAAAATACAGAGATCTTTTCCACAGGGACTGGACTATAGAGATTTGGAGACTTTCATGAACTTCTTGCTCGTGTTTGGGTTTATGAATAAAAGATGGATTTATGTTTATAAAAAACTTTAAAAGACTAAAATAGCGAAATGAACTTATAGACTACAGAATGGGCATGGGTGTAAGTGTTTCTTAAGATAAAATCAACAATAAAATGGTTAGAAACTTATGAGTTGTTTATAAAAATTTCAATCTCTCGAAAGTGAAATTTTACAAACGGTCCCCATAAAATTCCACAAAGTTCCTACGCTCACCAATTCGAAACTTGCCGATTTAGCTAAATAGAAGAAGAAATAAAATTCATACCCAAATCTCTTTGTGATAAGAATAACCATCGCTTAACCCTTAGCTAAATACACACAAAATTTGCATCTCTATGTAATTATCAAAGACTCTTACGAGTTCTTTGTGCATCACTTAAGCCGTATTTTGGATCCGCCCATCTCTGGGTCTAAGATCTAATATTAACACTTCAAAGTAATCGGCTTATCTGCGTCGAGTTTAAGTCCCGTCTTAAGTGACCAAGTTTACAAAGTGGTAAAGAGTAAAAACACCCAAATATTGTGTAAAAATCCTAAATTAAACTCACACCCACACCCATACGAGTAAATTAGCTCATAATAGACATAATAAAATGCAAGACGGTAAATAAGACTAAAATGTAACTTTCATTAATATAAAAGTAAACTATGTTCCCACAGTGGTGAGACTGTCGGCCAAAAATTACAACTTCAATACAAGAAAATAAAATGCTAAGCTAAAACTAAGAGAAGAAAAGAAGACCTTCAGCTAGTAAAATACTTTTAAGGATGATTAAAGGGATGATAAAAGGATGATCTTCAAATGAGCTCCAAAGTCTCTTTCTATAGGGGGAATGGATAAGGATGAAGCCTTTATGTTGGGTTCAAGATTGTGCTAATATGTTGTATTCAAGTTCTCTCAATTTTGTAATAGTTAGCTTTACTACTTTCTTAGTATAAATAGATTTTTAGTAGCTTAATTGTAGTTAGTTATTGTTAATCACTTGTAATATTCTCTCAAGAAATATCATTTCAATGTTTGGTGAAAATCTCTCTCTTCTCTCAATTGTATTAGAAGATTTATCTGATTTGTATGATAATTGGGATTCACACTTTATCCAAAGGAAATAAAGTACAAATAAACCTTGGGGCAAAAACCAAAAAACAACTTAAAATAATACAAAGGTACAATTTTACAGCCAACTACAGTTGGAGGAAATCTCTGGGCAAGCTCTGCAAGCTATACATCCTCCAAAAAGTAGAAATCTGACAAAATTTGTGAACATCCCACAGTGGTGACACATTGGGTAGTTGTCAGAAAATGCAGGTTTTCGAAATAAAATTTCTTTCTTTGTGTTTCATCATCTTTTTAAACTTTTAGAAATATCGGGCAAAAACAAGGAAATTGGTTATTTAATAGATGCAAAAATTAACTCTAAAAAATGAGAGTTATCACATGCAGCTTCACATAATGTATGATTTCTCCTTTCAACAACTCCATTTTGTTGTGGAGTCCGAACTGTTGTGAAACTTTGAGAAATACCTTTGTCATTAAAGAAGATTTTAAGAACACTGTTTTAAAATTTAGTGACATTGTCACTTCGAATTGATATGACAAGTTGATCATTCGAGACTTTCGTTCGCTTCACAAAGTTGATAATTCTTCATAATGCATCACTCTTGTGTTGTAGAAAGAAGACCCAAGTATATCTTGAGTACTCATCTACAACAACAAGAGAATAATGTTTTCCATTCAGACTTTGAACGCTCACAGGACCATAGAGATCTATGTGAAGCATGTGCAAAGGAGCAGAAATAGAAGAGCACATCTTGGAGTTGAACCTTGATTTGGTTTGCTTGCCTTTTTCACAAGCAACACACAACTTCTCTTTGACATATGACATCTTAGCAAGTCTAATGACTAGATATTTGCTAGAAATATTGTTGATGGTCTTGAAGTCGAGATGAGACAACCTTTTATGCCATAGCCAATTTTGATCAGCAGTAGCCTTAGAGTAGAAACAGATGTTGGTGTAAGTACTGCTAGGTGATTCCATGTCAAACACATAAACATTATCCTCTCAGATACTGGTTAGTACCTTCTTCAAATTTTACAATGAAGCTAAGATCACATAGTTAATTGTTACTTAGCATATTATGCTTCAGTCCATCCACATAAGCTACTCGGTTGAAGGTAATTGAGCACCAGAGAGTACACGATATCCTTTAGTATTACCTCTAGAATTATCTCCGAAGGTTACAGAAGGACCAGATTAAGACACATAGTTGATTAGTAGGGACTTGTTTCCACTCGTATGTCTTGAACATCCACTGTCCAAGTACCATACCCTGTCGGTGTCCTAAGCCTTGCAATCATATATAAATCAGTTTTGGGTACCCATTTTACAATGGGTCCACTAGGTTAGGAGACTTTTCTTCTTTCACTTTTCCTACTGCTTAATGATTCTTTCCTTTGGACAATTCTTAGCCAGATGAAAAGTGTCACCACAGTTATAACATTTACGATAAATGAACACAAGTTTAATCGATATCAATTGTGTGTGCTTAATTGTGGTAACATGCTTCTTAGATCTTTTGAAAGAGGCGGAAGCTTTTGAAAAAGAGACAGAGCACAAAGAGGGTTTTGGACCAAGAATCCCTTTTTCATACTCAAGGATTGGTTTCTGAAAAGAAGTAGAAACCTTGGAAATCTTTTTCAATGATACTGATCAGGGAACGAACTCAGTAACCGATGGCACTCAGGTAGCCGATTGAGACGTAGTAGCAAGTTGAGATGAGGTAGCCGAAGGCTTATGTTTCATCTTCAATTTGGATTTTGGCTTCTTGTTCTTGATATGCTTGTTAGTTAACTTGCCTTTTTCATAAACTTCTAATTTTTGTACTTTGATCAGCTGGTCCACAAACTTTCCTTTATAAGTAGATGTAAAGTGAAAATTCATGGGTTACTTCATATCCTCAGGAGTTATGGGTCTAGATGAGCTATCAGGGGGTTCTAGAAGAGAAAGAGAGTTGAACACACAGTCAACAAGAACATTGCTAGATTCAGAGTTTGGATTTTTAGCTTTGACAAAGACTATGAATTTAAGAGGTTCACCATTATCATAAGAACTAGGGGAGAGAGATCCGACATAATCAGATAAATGGGACGAAGATGAGGAAGAGTAAATGCGAGAAGAGATGTACAGAGGGTCATAAGGAGGACACATATCCATATCATCATAACCTAGACCATCCTTTACTTCACTTGGAATTTGATCGTGTAAGATTTTATCTAAGTTTTTGGATGATCTAGCCTATTTATGAAGAATGGATTTTTCTTT